CTGACTTGTGGCCTAGTCAAACTCCGTTGTTACATCACAAAGCCCCCAATTCATGGCCTAGTCACACTCTGCAGTCATGGTGAAAAGTCCCTGACTCATGGCCTAGTCAAACTCCGCTGTTACATTACAAAGACCCAACTCGTGGCCTAGTTAAACTCAGCAGTCATGGTAAAAAGTCCCTGACTCGCAGCCTAGTCAAACTCCGCTGTTACATTACAAAGACCCAACTCGTGGCCTAGTTAAACTCAGCAGTCATGGTAAAAAGTCCCTGACTCGCAGCCTAGTCAAACTCCGCTGTTACATTACAAAGACCCAACTCGTGGCCTAGTTAAACTCAGCAGTCATGGTAAAAAGTCCCTGACTCATGGCCTAGTCAAACTCCGCTGTTACATTACAAAGTCCTCGACTTGTGGCCTAGTCACACTCTGCAGTCATGGTGAAAAGACCCTGACTCGTGGCCTAGTCAGACTCTGCTGTTACATTACAAAGTCCTCGACTTGTGGCCTAGTCACACTCTGCAGTCATGGTGAAAAGACCCTGACTCGTGGCCTAGTCAGACTCTGCTGTTACATTACAAAGTCCCCGGTTCGTGGCCTAGTCACACTCCGCAGTCATGGTGAAAAGTCCCTGACTCACGCCTAGTCAAACTCTGCTGTTTCATTACAAAGTCCTTGACTTGTGGCCTAGTCACACTCCGCAGTCATGGTGAAAAGTCCCTGACTCACAGCCTAGTCAGACTCCTCTGCCACATTGCAAAGTCCCCAATTCGTGGCCTAGTCAGACTCCTCTGCCACAGTGCAAAGTCCCCGATTCGTGGCCTAGTCACACTTCGCAGTCATGGTGAAAAGTCTCCGACTCGCAGCCTAGTCAAACTCCACTGTTACATTACAAATTCCCTGATTTGTGGCCTAGTCAATATGTAAATTAATTCATCTTCGTACTACATTACTACAGCAGTTCTACATACCTAAAAAGTTATGTTCACTCTGTAGCACTGCTCTCAGGTATGAGTTAGGCAAGCTGTCTAGTTCCCCCAAAGCTCAACTGAAGGTGAAATGCATGCTTCTTCACGAGTAGAACCTGGCCTGCTGCTCTATATAACTGTATTCATTAAGTTATGAATGCTAGTATCTGATCCCAGGTCAGCAGCTCTACTGGGTTTGATAAACGTTGGCCCAGGGGACACATTTGTTCAGTATATCAGGATCAGCTCCTGCTGTATGATTGCTATCGTGAGCATTTAAAAGGCATGAACTGATCCTGCATCCAGCAGTGTGATAACTCCCCATTAGACAGGAAAACAGGTCAGAAGGAGCTGAGGTACAGCAGGGCTGTTACCTACAAGCCTGAGGTTTTCTTTTTCTTCTTCCATTCCTTTTCATTTTCTGTTTTCCTCTAGTTTCCTTTTTTCTTACTCTTGCCTTCTCTTCTGTTTTTTAGCCCTTTTCCTTCTCTCCAAGCAGGATCTTTTCAAAATCATTGAATTATTGATGGCCTCATACAGGCTACAGGAGTAGCTCCTGTACTGTGTTATCCTGCCATGCTGAATTTTGTGCAAAACAATGAGTTTTATTCATTAGTTACAAAAATAATGTTCTATTGTGTCTAATACTTCATAATGTGTCCATAATGTGTTTATTTAACTGATACATCAATGCATTGTGATGCATTGGTTTGGAAGTGTTGATTCAAAATACAGATTACTCTGAATTATTAAATGAATAGAATTCAATAGTATGCCCCAAATGCAATTCTCTGGCTAGATTCAAATGCAATGATAAACAAGCTTGATGCTTTTATTGTCTATAATTGACTGCTATGTAAACAGATCCTCCGTTTGGATATTTTTATTAATATTTCCAAATTATACCAAAATGATCAAATTAAATAATATCATGATCTTTATTGAGATTTCTCGATGGACTGAATTGGTTCCTAAATAATTGAATCATGGAGTCTACCTAATAATTCGAGTTTTGTGTTTGCTCTTTATGTAGAATCTTCAGCCATTGACTTGAGGAATGCAGCGATGAATCTATTCATCATCTTACGTCGCTCCGCTTCTCCTCAGCAGCTCTTGCCAGCTCTTCTTTTTTCCTGCTTGTATCAAATCACAATGTCAGTGAGCTCATTGCAAAAAATGCTTTTGTTCCCTCACAGTAGGGACTTTGGCTTGCAAATGTTTTCTGTGCTACAGGTCATTATTTTAAGGCCAGGCTGCCTAAAGTGTGGCCTGTAGGCCACAGTTGGTCTGTGAGAATGTTTGATTTGGCCAAACCTAACCAGGGACTTTGCACCATGATAGCAGAGTCTGACTGGGCCGTGAGCTGGGGACTTTGCATTATGTTAGCAGAATCTCATTGGGCCATGAGGACTTTGCATCTTAATAGCAAAGTCTGATGGGGCTGTGAGCTGGGGACCTGGCACCAAGGTAGCAGAGTCTGACTGGGCCATGAGGACTTTGCACCATGATAGCAGAGTCTGACTGCACCACAAGCCAGGGACTTTGCATCATAATAGCGAAGTCTGAATGGGCTGCAAGTTGGGGACTTTGCATCATGATAGCAGAGTCTGACTGGGCTGCAAGTTGGAGATTTTGAATTATGAGAGCAGAGTCTGACTGGGCCATGAGGACTTTGCACCATGATAGCAGAGTCTGACTGGGCCATGTGGACTTTGCATTATAATAGCAGAGTCTGACTGGGCCTCAAGTTGGGAACTTTGAATCATGATAGCAGAGTCTGACTGGGCCGCAAGTTGAAGACTTTGGCTACGTTTACACAGCAGGTGAAAGTGGCCCAAATCTTTTTCCTCAAATGTGACACAGATGTGTCATTTCTGTGGCAGTGTGAACAGTAAAAACCGCACTGAATCTGACATTTTCAATTCCAATTTGAGACGCTTTTATATGTGGTACTGAAATCCGATATGTATCCAATCTGCGGCAATGCGACTCTGTCTGAACAGCCAGATCGGAATTCATGCGACTTTTACGTCAATCCAACTTGACGTTCGTCATAATTTCGCGCAGCTGAGACTCAAACATTAAGGCTGATGTTTCTGTACCAAAAAATTAGACGAGATGTATTGCAGCTGCTCCGTGTTCGAAGAGGTTTCGAACAAAACGGCCGAACACAGCCGGAGGAGACCGAGGCTTCAGTGTCAGAGAACAGTTTAAAGAATACGAGGACATGAACCAAAGAAGTGGCTGAGGCTGAATAACGTGCCCTTTTTACGGCGAACTTGAACACATTCTGGGTGATGAGCCCAGCTGTCAACTATTGGAACTTCATAGTTGCTCCTGTGATGCTGGCGAAGACAAAACTGAAAGCTCTGGGAGCGACAGGCGTTCGCTGGCTGTCATGATTGTTTACCTCTGGATGAGCCACGTGAAGCGTTGTTCTTTTGCGCATGCGGGTCGGTTTAGGAGCGTGATCTGTTTAGACTGATGTCACATACAGGTCATATTTAAAAGATAATGTGAACAGCCAAACAAAAAAATCAGATTTGGTGAGAAAATCAGACTTGGCCACAAGTTGGGGACTTTGCATCACAATAGCAAAGTTTGACTGGGACGCAAGTTGGGAACTTTGAATCATGATAGCAGAGTCTGACTGGGCCACAAGTCAGGGACTTTGCATCATAATAGCAGAGTCTGACTGGGCCGCAAGTTGGGTACTTTGAATCATGATAGCAGAGTCCGACTGGGCCACAAGTCAGGGACTTTGCATCATGATAGCAGAGTCTGACTGGTCCGCAAGTTGGGTACTTTGAATTATGATAGCAGAGTCTGACTGGGCCATGAGGACTTTGCACCATGATAGTAGAGTCTGACTGGGCTGTGAGCCGGGGACTTTGCACCATGATTGTGGTGCAGGAGTGTGACCAGGGGTGTGCCCACACCTATGCTAATATGTCTTTGTGTGAGGACCAGTACAACCCATCATCAACCTGCATCATGCACACAAAACAAACAAAACTTTTAACTTCTTTGTTAAAACGTTTACTTTTTACTTCTTTATACATAAATATGTTTAAATATCAATAACAATTTGCTAAATAAAAAAAAAATGGAACATGGCAGAAGTGGGTTTGAAGTGTTTTTGAGGTTTGAATTGATGTAAAAGATTGCTTTGTCCATCTGAGCTATAATGTTGGCTTGTATTGTTTAATTTAAAGTATTTACTGGTGCTGAATAAAACCAGTTAAATTGCTTAGTATTTTTTTAAGTGGAATGGACAAACATTGTTTGACAGTTTATGAAAGGGAATGTTGAAGAAGACCATAAATGGCTTATTTGTGAGACTAACAATAGCAGCTACTGTTGATGCAGGATTTCTGAAAATGGGTTTTCAGCATGTTAAGAGTAGAAAATGCATCAATTTTCAGTTGCTTTAATTGACAAATATTAGCAGTGCTTCTAGATCCACTTTATACCCTTTAAACTCTAAGGGTCCACACACATGGACACTTCAATTCCTCACTCTCATAACTACAGATCTTGCATATTAAATTCATAATATGAGAGAGTAGGGCACAAACTAACGCAGGATAAGATGTAACATGGCTATTTTTTGTAGTTAAACAGGATCCAGTACATGCTTTCGGTCGTCTTCTTGTATTCCCAAAGCAATGCCATCTGCAAATTTTGAGAACAGACAAATATTTCTCAGGATTCACCCAAAAGACCATAAAATATGACCATAAAAGTAACATTTTTTGTTCATAATGCTGAGTTGTGTGTCCAAGTCACAGAATTCAATTCACTTTTGGAACGATGAAAACATTCTGTATACGACTGTATGTATGTGCACTTACGCATGCATATTCACACTGTATTTAAAGCAGATTCACTGTAAGTGCATTGTAATTGTTAATTCCTTTGGGTAAACAGCGCAGCTAAAAATACCCTTGTAACCGAATCCTTCTATTTTAGGTGCAACTCAATAAGCCATGTGGGACTGCAGCGGCAGTAGCATGTTTGTGTGCGAGTGGGCAAAGTCTCCTCGTTATAGATGGTAAGTGAATGAGTGTCAGTCTGCTGTATTCAGCTTTTGTCCTCATGAATTATTCAGTGCAGGGGCTAAAGTGGAGCTTGTGAATGTAAACCTTCACAAAACGCCTCCCCCCGGTAGACCTTCATCATCGTCTTCGTCCCGAACATCATGGCTTTGTTCTGTAAGTGAAATTTAAGAGAGAAAAACATCTTGCTGTTTCACTTTTTCATTTCTGCTGGGTACATAAGGTAGTTGCATCACCCTCGTTCACTTGAGGAACAGCTACAGTATATGTGTCTCGTCTTCCATTATGGTGCTTCAGAGTAAAACAACCTGGTACACCACCTAGTCTGAACCTACTATACAGAGGCAACTATCCAGTTTAGGTTCATCGGATCAGCCGGACCATCAATCTAGCCTGTGCTATATACAGTCTATATACATTTGGTCAACTTTGGTTAACTGTTTAGCTATATTTGAGTCATTTTTTTAAGCTGAAGCAAAGCAAAATAATAGTTCAGATGAACAAAAGCAATGCAAACCCTTTAAATCAAACTTCATTTGGTTCTATTTTACAGTATGGTTTAGATATTGTATTTGCTTTTGTATATGCTTTGTAATGTTTATCTATACTTGAGTTTTTATTTATGTACTAAGGCATGCGCCTGTCCCCTGGGCCCTGATGATGGCTGCGAGAGCCGGCAGGAAGGTGGGGCCCGAATCCTGAACACTGCAGAGGGACGCGAATGATGAGAGGAGGATGACCGTCATCATCCTCGTCCCCTCTCTGGCAGCTGACGTTCTCCTCCTGCCGTCACTCGTGTCCCTCTGCGGTGTTCGTGATTTGGGCCCCTCCTTCCTGCCGGCTCTCATGGCCATTATTGGGGCCTGGGGGACGGGCACATGCCATATGTGTATTTACACTAAACTGCATTGTCAGAGCTCTATATATAAAAATTTCATTTACATATATACTTTTGTACAGTAAATTGTGGCATAACAATTTTCTTTTCTAATACCGATAAACAGAGATGTTCCCAGATCACTTAATGCGAGTGAGTCATGAGTCTTTAATAGAGAATTGTAGTTTAGTCGCATTATTATCTGCAGGCAATACTGTACAAAAGTAAACAGCTTCAAATAACAAGCCTTTCATTAAAGAAAACCTGAACACAATGATGCACTACATACATTAAATGCAGTGTTTAAAGGAAAGAAGCAAAAACTACTTGAAACAAATGGTTAGTCTGCAGTTTATATGGCCTCACTAACCAGCTAGTGTAATAACTAATCCAGAAGAAGTTTCAGTACATTTTAAAACGATCTGTAACCTACTAACATGTCAGCTAAACTAGCTGAGTCTAAGTTTAGTTAAGTTAACTGTGTGCTAGCTAGCATACTTGCTATCAAGGCTATATGCTAGTCAACCATTTCACTTTCGTTTGCCTTTTTCCTTTAAACACTGCATTTATTACAAGCAGCATTTTTTCTGTGGTTTTTCTATAACAAAAGGCTTGTTGTTTGAAGCCGTATCAAACTGGACACTCGAGCTACAGAAGAGCAGACAGTCAACACACAGGTGTAAGATTGTAAAAGTGTCATTCGAATATTCATACCAATATTTTTCTCCATGCTAAAGTCTTAAATCTTGTGCGTCAGTTAAGAGCAGCTGCATGTCAAGTGTGTATTAAGAGTTGCTGACTCGAGTTCCCATCTCTGTTATTAACAATATTGAAAACTTGAGTATCAGCTAATACAAATATTGATGAGGTATTATTAATTGAAGCACTTTACTTAAGAGCATCTAAAAGTACATTATCATGCTGAAACTACTCAAACAAATCTATCTATCTATCTATCTATCTATCTATCTATCTATCTATCTATCTAAACCAAGTTAGTTAATTCGAGACTAAGACCAGAGTATTGTGGCCACACCTTCCAGATGCTATTACATAATGCTGTTGTTCTTCAATCACAGTTTAGGTTTACAAACACTTCAGAATTACACAGCTCTAATGGTGTTTTTTCTTTCCTAAAATGAGTCTAAAAGACCAGAATTCTTAATAATGTAAGACATTTTTTTGACTGCTATTAGTACAAACATACCTAAGATTAATACAGGACCAGAACTGTAAAACTGGTCTTAAGACTATGGCCAGTTTCAGGTTCTATATAAGATGTCCTGTTGTGTTCGATACTACCTGCTCATGAAAAGTTTACACCAATATCAGTAATCTGAGATACTTAGAAATGGCACAATACCACTTTCTTCTGATATCGATATTGGAACTTTGAGTGTTGGCCGATTCTGAAATTGAGATCCTGAATATCGACCCATACAGATACTGAAACCTTAATTTTCAGCCAATACCGATATTGAAACCTTGAATATCAACTGATTCTAAAGCTCTGAGCACTGGCCGACACCAAAATTAAAACCGTGATTAACGGCTGATACTGATATTGAAATCCTGAATATCAGCCGATAATGATATTGAAAGTTTAGGCATCGGTAGATACCGATATTAAAACTTTGAGTATCGGCCGATGCCGATATTGCAATCCTAAATATAAACTAATGGCAATATTAATACCTTGAGTATCGTTTAATACAGATACTGAAACCTTGAGTATCGTCCGATACCGATATTGAAATGAATATCAACTGATATCGAAACCTTGAGTATCAGCCAATGCTGACATTTAAACCCTGAATATTGACCGATAATGATGTCATAACCTTGAGTACTGGCCAATACCAATATTTATACCTTGAGTACTGGCCATTTACAATCCGATAGGATTTTAACTGAATCACTTCATTTAAGATAAACATCTAAAACACTTTACTGACCCTAAAGGAAGAACTACACTATGTAAGACCAAGTGGGTAAAGTCTGAGACTAACACCAGAACAGTGCGACTACACCTTCCAGACGCTGACTGAAAATATTACATAATGCTGTTCTACACCGTCCAATCACAGTTCAGGTTTACCAACACTGCGGAAATACACAAGTCTAACAGTGTTCTTTTTTCTTCTTTATATCAAAATACATCCAAACAGGAATGATGAGAATAGACTTTTTAATAATGCTATGATTTCATTCTTTTTACTAGTCTTAGTAAAAAGGAATTTGAGATTTAGACAGGACTAAGACCGTAAAACTGGTCTTAAGGCTAAGACCAGTTTCAGGTACCCAAGAGGTACTGTAGTCTTAGAAATGGCATGTTATAATGTAGTTATTAGGAAACTTGATGTGTAATTTTCTTTATCTTAACTTACTAAACAACGTCTGGTTCCGTCAAACCGTTTTGTTTTCCGCTTCTGCTCATTGTAGGTTGCCGCTGTGTGTTTGTGAGTTAAGCTTTAGATAAATGTGCGAATGTATGAGAAAGAGAGAGAGAGAGAAAGCCTGTGTGTGTGAGAGAGAGAGAAAGAGAGAGAGAGAGAGAGAGAGAGAGAAAGCCTATGTGTGAGAGAGAGAGATAGAGAGAGAGGGTGGGGGGGTTGAGCAAGCAAATGAGAGAGCAAGCGAGAGAAGCAGTGCGGGAGTGGAACAGCGCAAGCGGAGGAGAGTGGAAAGAGAGAGAAAGAGAGAGAGTGAGTGAGAGAGAGAGAGAGAGAGGGAGCGGGAGAGAGAGAGAGGCTAGAAGGGCTAAGCATTACAATCACTTCTTCTCTAGCCCGTACGTGATATGCCAAGACTGCTGCAGAGGATTGGCTGTTTCCTGCCTGTCCATTTTTTTTCATTCCTTTTTCTTTCATCTGCTTTCTGTCACATAGGACCCATCATCCTTTCTAGATGCTCGTCCGTAATGGGAGGTAACTATGATCCTTATTAAGCTTAAAAATAGATTGTTATTCATAAGAGACGCCCATCAGACCTTTGAGTTATAGAGCTTGTTGACTGCTCGTAACTTCGTTACAGATTGGCAGGACTTTTTGCCTCCTCCTGCTCACCCCTTCCCAATTTAATTTACTCTAAGACGCTTGGGGTTTTAAAGTGAGCATGGGTATCGGATGCCAGAGTTGATTTTCTTGTCAGAATTTGTTTATTTCTTGTCTCGAATGACTGCAGGGTACTTTAGAGCTCTGAGCAACAAGCTGCATCCTGGACAGATGTTGTATGAAATCTGTAAATGCAATATAGCATTAGAATAAAAAAGTGTGTTCATTATTTTTACATGCAAAGTAATGCATTTTGTACAATATAGTGCTCTGTTTTTCCTTACATGCATATGCCTGGTACGTGGTGCAGGAAGTGTGGTCTAAGCTGATATTGATTTTTGATTGTGTGAATGTGTGATATGTGCGCTGGGGTGAGTCTGGGGTGGGTCATCTGCCCTTCAGTAGGACTCCTTAGGACAGACAGCAGTAGCATTGCTCTGTCTTTAATCTCTCCCAGCAATCAGGATGCATCAGGAAGTTTAGGAGCTGCGATTTACTTTAGTAAATAGTGTGTTGTTCTGTTGTACTCAGTTTTAGTGCCTGAAAAAGGAAACATCTCAAACCCTATATTTTGTTATTTCTGTGAGTGTTATAGCTTGTTACTTGACCATTGTATATCCACACTGTGCTACCTTTCCTGTACGTTTCGAAAGCCTACTTTTATGATCCTGTTCACCACTTAATACTTGAGCAACACTGAATAAGCTTTTCTAAAGAAAAGACAGGGCAATCCTGTAATGAAGCCTGTTTCCAGTTTGCTCTGTTGCTGAATAAATCCTCTAAAAGTTTTAACTTTCTCACAAGAGGCATTTTGGAAGCTGACTTTGAAACTCACTTATTCAAACAAGACCGCAAAAAGCTCAGGCACAAGCAGCTGTGATAGCGCACAAAAAGTCAGAGCTTCAGAAGTCAGAGCTGTACAGTATCTAAGCTTTTGTTGTGTTTTGGTTTGACAGGGACAAAAAAAGGAACCGCCGTATATGGAATAGAGGCGCCTGTGATTCCCCGAGATATCCATTCAAAAGCCTTGTCAACCACCGGTGAAATCGAGTAGCCACTTAAGGCTCGCTAGGAAGGGAGGGGAGACACTCTCACAATCAAAGCTCTAAAACAGCAGAGAGGGAGAAGGAGAGAGAAAGGAGAGAAAGAGAAAGGGCAACAGAGAAACGATTTGCCTGATCTTGCAACTTTGGAGTCCATCATCACAATTTAATAAGAATTTGAAAAGCCACAGTGCTGCAACAAATCTGTCTTCTTTAGGCAGTGTCTGCAAGTAAGAACCAGCAGACTTAACCACTAGATGTCCAGGCGCCTTTTAGTACCAAGACACTGAAGCTGTGCTCTGCAAGCAAAAGGCCAAAGCTAAACCAGGTCCGTTTTAGGACCAGTTTTGCTTTTTTGAGTTTACAGAAAACACTTTTTGCTGTGTTTCGAACAAGGTCGTATTTTCCTCTGTAGTCCAGTGGGATTGTAGTATCTTATCCTGAAGATGAAATCAAGTTTGCCACAACCCACTTACTTTGCAGGAGCTTTCCCCTGTGAACTAAATGGACACACAAGCTGAAAGAGACAAAAGTTTGACAAACCGATCTGGCCGTTAAAACCTGCAGCTCGGATGATCAGTTTGGAAATACCTTTCCTGTTCCTCTTGCTTCGAAAAGGTTTGGAGAAGCTAACTCAGGGTCCGACACCCCTCTCTAAGCTCACCCATTTGCTCTGGTAAAAAAAAACTGCAGTCCCCAAAACAAAGATGGCCGCCGGAGTGGCAACATGGCTGCCATTTGCCAGGGCGGCTGCTGTTGGCTGGCTTCCTCTGGCCAAGAAGACCATGCCCAAGCCGCCTGTGGACAAGAAAAGCCGCAACGATGAGATCCTGATTGTCAACGTGAGTGGGCTCCGCTTCCAGACTTGGAAGAATACCCTGGACCGTTACCCTGACACCTTGCTGGGAAGCTCGGAAAAGGAGTTCTTCTACAATGAGGACACTCAGGAATACTTCTTTGACAGGGATCCAGAGATGTTCCGTCATATCTTGAACTTCTACCGCACAGGCAAGCTGCATTACCCGAGGCAAGAGTGCATACAGGCCTTTGATGAGGAGTTGGCCTTCTATGGCATCGTGCCAGACATCATCGGGGACTGCTGCATGGAAGAGTACCGCGATCGCAAGAAGGAGAACCAGGAGCGGCTGTCCGAAGACACGGAGGCAGAGATGGCCACAGACACTCCGTTGCCCCCAAACAGCACACCCCGGGAGCGCCTTTGGCGGGCTTTCGAGAATCCTCACACTAGCACCATGGCGCTGGTCTTCTACTATGTCACGGGATTTTTCATTGCAGTCTCGGTCATTGCCAATGTGGTGGAGACGGTGCCATGCCGGCCACTCAAGGGCAGCGTCAAGGACTTGCCTTGTGGAGAGAAGTATTCAGTGGCCTTTTTCTGTCTGGACACGGCTTGTGTCCTGATCTTCACCTTCGAGTACCTGATGAGGCTCTTTGCGGCGCCCAACCGCTGCAAGTTCATGCGCTCGGTCATGAGCGTCATCGACGTGGTGGCCATCATGCCCTACTACATTGGCCTGGTCATGCCCGAGAACGAGGACGTGAGTGGTGCCTTTGTCACACTCCGGGTCTTCCGCGTCTTCCGAATCTTCAAGTTCTCTCGACATTCGCAGGGCCTGCGAATCCTGGGCTACACATTGAAAAGCTGCGCCTCCGAGCTTGGCTTCCTCCTCTTCTCCCTCACCATGGCCATCATCATCTTCGCCACCGTCATGTTCTACGCTGAGAAAGGCACCAAGGGAACCAACTTCACCAGCATCCCTGCCGCCTTCTGGTACACCATCGTCACCATGACAACGCTGGGGTTAGTCCATCTGTTTTTTTCTTGGCTTTGTATGAAGTGTTAGTAATTGCGGAGATGTGGATGAGCTTAGATCAGAGGAGATGGCCTTACAGAACCACAACACAGTTTTTTGCTTACACATATAAAACCACATATTTTCTCTGCTTAATGAAACAGTTTGGCAAAAAGAAACTGTTTAGCACAATTTTGAACAACTGAGATTTGCCTTAGACCATGTTGGGCTTTCTGACACTAAATGGAACCCTGTTGTTTCTAAAAATTAACAAAAGAACAGACCAAATTTAGACTGGCTGACATTTTTTTTAGCTATGTGACTTACTTTTGTCTTTTTGTATAGATAATATGTCATAATGTCAAAAAAAACAAACTAAGTCTATTTGAGATTACTTAATGACTCAAAGTGGTTTGAAATCAGTGATTATTATTAGCCTCATAGCTCCAGTGCAAAACTAAAGGAGCAAACTCAGGGCTCGAGCCATGTCTCAGCTGATCGACGACATTTGGTGTAATGCCATATAAATTACACTTTTTTGGCCAAACCATTCCTTTAGCATAACTGAATAAACTCAACTGAATCTCAGTTGAAGCAGGTATGTTACAGTCTCTACTGTAACATACCTGCTTCAACTGAGATTCAGTTGAGTTTATTCAGTAATGCCAAAGTGTCCAGCGCTGCAGAACTGGAGTTTGCCGCCCTGTCCTTAGACAGACACCATAATTGCATACGCATGCAACGTCTGGGCATTGGTGGAGTGGAGTGGAGTGAAGTGAACAAGCCGTGCAGCAGCATTACGGTGGCTTGCAAAGAAGCCGCTGAGATCCATTAAGGACTCTTGGAAAAATTCCCCCGTGCTGAAATCCACTTACAGTTTCATTTCTCATGCATGCTGCTGACAGAGTCCTTACATACAAATTCTCAAGAAAGTTCCGAAGTAACTTATAAAGTATGAAACACTGCAGTGATTCCCAGACGTGGGGAAACCATGTGCTGCAAAATTTTGTATTTTTCTCTAATCTGGCACACCTGACACAACTCAAGAACTAATGAACAAGTCCCCCATGAGCTCGCTCAGGTATGTTGAAGCAGCAAAAGCAAAAGAATATGTGTGAAACACAGGCCCTGGACTGGGATTGGTTTATTATCGCATATCTTTATACAGAGCTATTCTGGGGGGCTATTCTCCCTTGCTGCAAGATATGAAACTTTCATTTCAATGCATTTTATTACAGAAAGCAGAGAAGCACGAATGAAAAGTACCGTGCTGGAGAATTGTGTTTCTAGTATCGTATTGATATTTTATGAAGCTGAGACAGGACTATTGAACTGGGCTGTTTAAAATGAGTGTGCATGACCACAGACTATCACCCATCATGCAGACATACGAGGAACTGGCCAGGTTCTGGTAGAGCTCCAGTGATACTTCAACTGAGAATGAATACATTTTGTTTCTGGTTGCTACACACTGTAAATGCCACAAGTTGCAAATTTGCAAACAAAAATTTGTTTGATTGCTGATTTTTCATACAATTCAGGGTGTTTTGTCTTTATTTTTTATTGTTTATGTTGAAAGGCTTGGGCAGAAAACAATCTTCCAATCCTTTCATTTCTATTCTGCATTGGGCAAAGCTAAAGAGGAGATGTCAGCACAAAGTAGGGGTCGACAATACGATGATATGTTATTGTTGTCATGATAAATTATGCCACAATACACTTTTCTTAGAATATCATTGGCCTCACAAAAAATTATAGAGAGCCTATAAACAACAGCCAGTGTATAGTAACTGGATAAACTTCACAGTAACAAGCAGCTGATTGGATGTCAGTCCATTATGACATCATCTTAGTTTATTAATTTCTTTTTACCAATTGTCTGTTTTTTCTTCCTGTTCCTCCTTCAATAGTTGTTACTTGCAAATATTCAGTTCCTTTTTTTACTTTTTTAATGTGGCATTAGTGTTTTGCCAGTGCATTTTGTTTGTTCCAACTCGTTCACAAACCTCAGGAATCAAAAGATAATACATCATAATACATATTGTGAATCGAAAAAAGCAGTGGCACACTGTCATTATAAGGTCTAGGCTTTCAGTTCAGGCTGTAGATTCAATCAAAACTCAAAAAATGAGAAACCGACCTCTATAATGATGCTAGTTTCTGCAAGCACCCCTATGGAAGCTGTAATGTTATGTTAGTGCCAAGCTACCACTGTGAGGGATGGGGTTATAGTATCTTTCTGATGGGCCAAATCTACTGTCCTCTTATCTTGTGGGCCAAACTTTGGGTCTAGAAGGCCCTGAGAGTTCCTTTTCGAGTATTGTGATGTTATATTTGTGCCTTATCACCCACTTTTAAGACAAAGCCTCCATTTTCTCTGCTGCACCTGCTACTAGGAGTTCCAATTTGGTGCAGACCGGCTACAAATCTCAGTTTCTGGGAAAGAAACCCCGAAAGCAGTACTATAAAACAAATGGCTCTAGTAAATCACATGCAGATTGAAAAACAGGCCTCCTTGAGAGGAAACATGTTTGTTTAACCTTAACAAGTGAGTTACAGTAGGCCGTCACGTTCTTCCTGGTGATTAGGAGCAGGCTGCGGTGGAGAAACACTGTTGAGGAGACTGAAGTGAAGTGAGGCAGAGTTACGGTTGTGCAGAGTGAGTGTGGGGGGCTGATACATCATAATCTCTCATAGTGATGGATGGAGGGAGGCGGACTGCTGTGTCACAACAGTTGGGACGAGAGAATGAGGAGGCTCTGTGCGTGTGTGTGAGACGGTGAGAGTTGTGTGAATGGGTGTTTGTGAATGACTGTGAGGGGATGAGGAAGCTTAGAAGGCCCCCAGTGTGTGCATGTGTGCCTTTTTCCACAACTCTGACATGTGGCGCCGCGTGTCTGTAAATGCAGATTTATGTGCCAGCAGCTACGCTAAGAATATATCCTACTTTACATATGATTATGTCATATGTTAAACATATTCGGGCCTTCGAGGAAAGTGCGTGATTTAAATATGAAATATTATTTGTTAGAGTAGAGATGATGTCATATGATAAAGGTCCATCTACACAGCCATGTCCTGCTTTACACACGATAATGTCGGATTTGAATCCTGGAGTAAAGTGGGATGGATTAAAGCAAGTATTAGTTAGTATTAGCATACATAACTGTCTAATAAGAGTTTCTGCTAAGAATTTTTGGAGGCAAACTTCCTGGGAATGATTCGGTTTCTCTGACAAATGAGTAAATCTATGGTCATATAGTTATTTGTGCTTTATCACATGATCTGGCTAATCCACACATTACCCAGCGCATATTCTCCAACTCCCTTAAATAAAACTCTATGGTAAAGGCAAAATATTTGTTAGCATGGCTGCTAACACCATTTTACTTCTTGTTTTTTTCCTCGTGTTGCTTGTCTTAACAGCTGTTGTCGACTTAAAGTCAAATGTATCTAAAAGTTCCTGGCAGCTTGCGCTGAAGATTTTGCCTAAAACTGTGCTCCTCTTTCTTCTCCAGCTCTCCTGAAGACAGTTTAATACCACAGCTTGAAGCTGAGAGCAGCTGTCAGTCTGGTCTATTTTTTTTTACTGCAGTGCATCTTTTATTGACCATCAGATCAGCATCAAGATGCATTACCACTCGTAAAAGGTCAAATGAAGTTTATGTTAACATCATTAGAGTATAGCTATTAGGAGTTGTTTGACAGTGCAAGCTAACTTGCTGTTACTACATTTAAACACATATTTCAATTGCATGTTCCAATATTCTTGACCCGAGGCATTGCTTTATCATAGAAAAAAAAACTAGTGGAGGCTTAAATGAAGATAAAGTTAAAATAAACCAAACAGGTGCTTCATTTAAGATAAATCTGTTGAAAAGCATCATATAGTAAAAGAACTGTGGAGCTGTTAAAAAGCAGCAATCCATGAGCAGTAATTCATCCATATGCTAAGCAACAGATGGATGCATCACCTCAGCTTGTTAGCTTACATTTTTGCATGGACTTTTTACATGGATGAATAGTTTTTAATGGTCAAATGTCAATATTTCCCAGCTAACAGAAGACTCAGTAGCAGTATAGTATATGATATGGATACAAATTTGGAATTATTTGTCATATTAATGATGTTTGTTAATTTTTATACAATAATAACCAGTCTTGGTGCTAATTTAGTGGGGCAGTGCTCCACCAACCAATCATGTTGCACCACTAAATTAATATAGGAGGGTTTGCATGCATGTTTTTGTATTAAATGAATTTTAGGGATGCACATTATGAAGATAAATGGACTTTTGGTGAGTGGTGAGTTGCTCTGTTGCTGTTGTGTTTATGGCTCCTTTTGCACAGATCGACAGTACACTTCTAGCCCAACATTTGTTTATTTATTATATTTGCCACATGGATTTGCTGCAGCAACAATTGTACAAGACTAGCATATTGAAATCCTTTTATCTGCATTTGTCTGCATATAATGACTGTTTGTAATTCAAAAATGTGGTTCCAAATTTTTTAATGATGATTTGTATTTATGTTTTTATATATTTTTAAATATTTTTTATATATATATATATATATATATATATATATATATATATATCGCTCTTGTCGGAACAAAACCTCGTATTTCTAAAATTAGAATTTACAGGAGAAGTCAATAGAACCAGACTTTTTCCAAGTCATTTTAGGTCATTTCTATTTGTCCATTCATCAAGAAATTTACACACAATGTAATGTGGGTAAATTTAAATCACTTGTGTGCATGTATGCGGGTGTTTTACTGCATGGATGGGTTAAACGCGGAGGTCTAATTCCTCTTTGTGCAAACACAGTTGGCTAATGGTTCTGAATTCAATTCAATTCAATGGAGAGACGAGGTTTTGTTCCAACAGCAGCAATATACATATATATAATGCTTTATGAAAATGTAATGCTTTTTTCAGTTTATGTTGTCATAGCTTCTAAATTGTATTGAGTCATCATGATAAATCTGGTTGGTTTAGATATC